AAAATGTTACATAAAATTGAACACACAAAGCAGCAGCGGCTTTAAACTTGTCGACTGTTATTTATATTCTGTATATTTTTAAAGCGAATGAAAAAAAAATTTTTATCCAAGTAATATCTTACCTCTTCAGTTTCTTCGGATTATTTATTTAACATAAAATAAAAAGTTAAATTGAAATAGGAATTCAAAAAAAATATAGACATTATCAATTCGAAATTAATTTATTTTGTGTGTTTATTTAATTGCTTAAAAAAATCTAAATATGTACTCAATTGTGTAAATCTATACTCAATTTCTAGATCACCCCATTCTACGCAAGAAACTCAAAAAATATAAACGTAGCATATATTTCTCTTTTAGAAGAAAAAAAATAAAAATGATACAATGTATTAAAGATAAGTTATAAAAAAAAGATACGAAAATTTCATTTTTCAGTTAAAGATTTTAAGAAAAAAACTTTTGGAATTTGACTGCTATATTCCTGAAGTGTTGTTTCTCATGCGTGGCGATTATAATCTAATTTCTATGCCAAAAGCTTGGCGCAAATTCTGCCCATGCGTATGTCTTTTAATTAAGTAGTGTTTCCCTTCTCTCCTTTGCGATGAAAAAGTGAAAAGAATGCAATTCTTCGGAATTTTTTTCCCCCGCTATGCCTTTTAGTAGCATTCCTCCGAGAATTATTTGCTCGTTAACCGCCGCATCCTTAATTTAAATCTTGTTTTTATTTTACGCCATTTTTCAACTTAAGACATTCGATAGTAAAAGTTTTAAAAATCATTGGCAAGGTACATACGTAAGTAAAAAAAGAAGGAAAAAAAAACTTTAAAAGGGGGAAAAAAAGCGAAAGAAAAAGAAAAAAAAGTATTCCTTTTTATTTCAGGATTTGGAAAGGAAAATGTTTTTGATATCTCTTTTAGAAAGAAGGTAAACAAAAATTAGAAAGAAAAGTACTTTTTAGTCTGAATCACGTAATTGTGTTTTTACTAAATATTTTCTGCGGTAGTTATAGATTATTTTAATTTTAAATATTTACTCAAAAATATATTGAATAATGATTAAAATTGAGCCCATTTTTCATTAATTAATTACAAAAATAAAATTACCACTATTCAATGCTTGTCTGTGAAACATTTTTCGTTCATTATTATTACTAAGAAAAATGAAAGTACAAATCTAATATTTCCTTACTTTCGGTTTAAGCAGAAAGTTTTCTAGTTATCTAATAATGGGAAAAAACACGCATGTCAGATTTTTTAAATTTATATTATAGAAAAAAAGAGTTGTTAAAATATGGCGAATCATTATTGAGGTCAATATTAGTAAAAGTAGGATTTCAAATCTCTAAACCAGTCGATTGTCAATTGGGTGAATGGGATTATTTAAAACGCATTTCAGTTTCATCCGTTCATTAAACTGGTTTTAATATTTTAATTCAAACTCAAATTGATTGGTTGGCCCTAAAAAGGAGTTGTCAGATTTTGATTGCTGTTTTTCCTCTCAAATTTTATGGCTAATTTGTAAATCCTTTATTTTACATTTAGTCTAGATATATTTATGGAAAGCAGCGATTATGAAAATAATCAATTTGATTGGCCCTAAAAAGGAATTGTCAGATTTTGATTACTGTTTTTCCTCTCTATTCTATGACTAATATGTATATCCTTTATTTTTACATTTAGTCTAGATATATTTATGGAAAACAGCGATTATGAAAAAACGTGTTTGTTTACACAACAAATAAATGAGGGGGAAAAACAAGTTAATTTAAGTAATAAGTAAATGTGGAAAGAACTTGTTCATTTACACAATAAGTTGAAGAAAAGAAACTAGTTAAAGTTAAGTTACTAAGAAAAAAGCAATTAAAACTTTCAAAACCAGTTCATGTGTTAGATAAAACTGAAAGATAGTTTAATGCGAGTATTCGAACCTTTTCAAACTACATAAGTTTTTTCATATAATCAGGTTTATGCTCTAACCATGATTAAAAAAATTTTAAGTCATAAGTTGTGTCAGAATGACGTAACACTCAATGTTTAGGACATTTTTATTGCTGGAGCACCGTTGCAGATTTATAGTTAAAGTTTAAAAGTAAAATTTGAAGTTTGATCTCGAACGATGTGATTTGTTTATAAATTGCAAATATATATATATATATATATATATCAGTNGTAATGTAAAGTGTGACGAAACTTTATGACAAAGGCTAGGAAGGTGTCCAAAATATTTTATTTTATGGCCGTCGTTTTATAGCTACCTATGTTCAACTCCAATTTTTGACCCCTGTTCAGAAAATTATAGAAATCCTGGGTAAATTTGTGTTGCATGAGGAGGAAAACCTCCCACGTTTAGCCCGACACCAGGGGTACTCTTCTTCATGATCCGTCTGCCATTGGTAATATTTTACGTTAGCATTGTGGTCGGTGAGAGCCGGGTGCAGAATTCTTATCGACCAGCAATGAGGATTAGAACCTGTGTCCTCTCATTGGGAGGCGAGTGCTCTATCCCATGAGTCAGTTGGGATATATAAAATCTCCAATAAAAGGAGCCATCATTTATAGATGGCCTTTTTTAATATTTTACTGTAGACCGAACTATATTGTTTCTAAAAAAAGTCTAATAATGAACCACTTAATTTTTTTTTGAAAAAAGAAAAAAAAAAGAAGGAATCCTCCTTTTAAAAGGCTGCTATATATAAATGGGGTAAAATAAAAACATGTACGCTCTAGAAAGTATATAAATCTTTTTAAACATCCCTCTTTTTTTAAAAGACTTTCATGAAGTATTTTCTTCCCATATAAGCTGTTCTTCAAATTATTTTTACTCTCCTACCTTTGACAATATTTTCTTTGGACTCTGAAACAATTTACTTGCTACGTAAGCACTTTCTCGATCGTTGTTACGCCACGTATCTATCTGTCAATATTTATGCTTGACGAACGAGGCGAAATTGACGTTTTTTTATATATACCTATATATTTTTCACTCTGAACTCTTTTTCTATCGGTCGAATCGGAATATCGACGATGTCCCAGTTGTGCTCTTGGCTGTCGACGTTTTCCAATAAAAATAGGCTTGGCGGTTCTCTCTAAGATTTAAGTTTCTCTAGTCCCTGGTGTTTAGAATGAGAAATGCAGGTACCCACAGATTTTCCGGATGCAATTTAATTTCTTTGTGTCGTGTTTTAGGGTAAAACATCGGTGTTCCATTTTTCTTATTTCTTGTAAAACGTGATGGTAAACCTGATCGATTTGGAATTGGAATTCCGGTTAGATGAGTGATTTTTTACGGTACCCGTCTCCAGGACAGAATTTTTTTTTTTTTTGCCCGTGACTAGACTAGATTTTTGATGGGAAGGAATGTTAGCTTTATGGCGTATAGCGTGTACTTTTCGCAGATTATGTCACGTATTTTAGTGGACGATATATTGTCCGAAAAACCATTTTTGGTGAAGGATATGTTTGTTCTGCCCCTTCATATTTATTCTAAAGAAAACATTTTTCTGACATTATATATATATTTATTAATTTTTGAGATGTATGTTCATTTTAAATAACTCTGAGTTCGAAATTTTCCTAAAACTCTTAGATTCCGTTAAATTTTGAAAAAATTGCCCTAAAATGTAATAAATGTTAAATTTTCTAAAAACTTTGGATTTTTTCCTTCGAATATATATCGGAATTAATGAAATAAAAATGAAATATAGCATAACTTAAATATAATTATTATAAGGTTGAATCGGCAAACTGCAGCCAATACTATTTCGTCAATGAAATTCTCACAGAATATTACAATAATCAAGAAAGTGAAAAATACAATTAGACATAGCACACATTCAATTTTAGCAGACATTCACTTCAGTTTTATTATGATAAAAATTTGTTTTGTAAAGTTTACTTCTACTTATAATAATAATAATAATAAATAAATGGTGCCCTGAAAAAACTTAATTTCGTATTATACCAACTCTGAACAGCTACTGATATGCCTTGAATTTTCAGAAATGTAATAAAGTGTAAATAAACACTTTTTCCACAAATAATTTTTACTTCTTATTTGCAGCTAGGTATCTTAATCAAAATTTAATTTTTTGTTTGTATTTCTTATGATGTTAAAATAATAAAAATTGTTTTTATTTTATTCTAATTTATGGTATCTGAATAATAAATAAATACTCTAAATCATTATCAAATGTCTTAAAATTTTAGAAATTTCACTCCTAGCTCTGGAAAATATCTTATTCGATATTTTCATTTAATTGTCATTTTTTAAAGAAATTTAATTATTATATTTATTGACTATGAGACTATTGTTCTTTAAAAAATAAAAAATATAAGCTTAGAAAAAATATTCCCTTGAAAAAAAATTCTTCGTCGTCAGAAATTTTTTTTACAGAGCATTATTTTAACCCTTTGACGCAGAATTTTTAATAAGCATATTTTTTGTATTAATTTAGGTCAAAATAAGTGAAAAATATTATCCTTAGCATTTTAATAATTTATGGTTATGAAATAAAGCATAAAACTCCGGTGTCTTTTCATACATTAAAGGTAAAATCTTCCAAACACAGCTCACTTCTAAACAATGATTTTTCAAATTTGCGGCTATTTAGATCTAACAGAAACAGTTATTCCTCGTTGAAATTTCTTTAATTTAAAAAATTAATTTTTGAAAAAATTCTATATATACAAACTTTTAAAATTTTTATTCATCTTATCTACTTATTTAAAAATTAGGTAATTGAGATTTTCTGCGTCTAATCCGTGAATCTATCCTTGTTTATCGATTGGTCGAATGAAAACAATCATCAAATAAACATCTTCAAACTGTTTTTTAACAGATTTTTATTTAAGAATATGATTGGACTAATTTGATGTCATAACATTGTTACTGCTTTTGAATAAATCAATACTTTCAAACTAAATTCATGTTGGATGTTTTTAAAAGCTAACATTCCTCATTGTCTGTTTAATGAAACCCATATTCCATTGTCTTTCAGGTAATATCTACACCAATGAAATTCTGGATCGTGAGACTAACAACCGATATTGGTTAACAGTTCACGCTGTGGACAGAGGTGCTGTTCCTCTCTCTAGCAGACTCGAAGTCTACATTGAGGTACTGGATGACAATGACAACGTTCCTCTAACAACTCAACCTGCCTATTATCCGAGTATTCCAGAGAACGCCCCTCCTGGCACTATTGTTTTGCAATTAGAAGCTTTCGATTGGGATTTAAACGACAATAAAATCCGATTCAGTATTGCAAGTGGTGATCCTCAAGGATATTTCATGATTGATAACACCACTGGTGAGTTGAGTTTTGTTTCAATTTCAATTAATAAGTGAATTGATCTTTGTATATTTTTAATGGTTGGAAAGCAATTGTTAGTATATCGATCTAGAGCAGCGTTTCCCAATTTGTTTCGGTTATGGAACCCTAAATGATCGAGCTCCATTTGGCGGAACCCCCAGCATTATATATGAATAAGTTTATTGGCGGCTGTAAATATTCTAACAAAAAAAAAAGACTTATTTTGAAACTATTTAATGTTTATAATGAAGTATTCATTGTTATGAATTTTTTCTTGATGCATGCATATGCTGAACGTAAAAATAAAAACATGTTGAAGTATGGTTTTTAAAAAGGAACTGTTGTAAACGATTAGAATAGTTATCAGAAAAACGTAATTCTTTATACTTTAGTTCAGTTATTTTATTTTGAATTAACCTTAAGCTACCGTGGAAGCGTCACATATGTTACGAGAGTTAAGACTTTTTTTTTACCTGTTATGATTTTTGAAACTTGTAATTAATTTTATATCTGATTAACACCCCATTATTGATTTAATATTTTCATGAAATTATTTAATTAAAATGCTTGTGAAGAAATAAAGTAATATTCTAATAGCAATATATTTAATGATTAATGAAAAGGACACAATTAGGAGAAACTGTATTTGTATTTTGATAGAATAAAAATAACCGAACTCAATAATGAAGAAAGGCGACTCTCTCTAATAATCATTCTCAACATTTATTTTGTTCCTTTTTGTCTTTATTTTAAGGAAAACCAATTTTAGCTCCTGTATATTTAGTTGATACATGCAATAAAATCAAATAAGAAAACTATATGCCTCTCCAGACCTGTACATTTTAACTGTCTGACATAACAATATTGAAAAAAACGATAAGATTAAAAAATTTTATTTTTTATTCATTTATTAAATAGTTTCAAAATAATTAGTAAAATTTCAATCATTAAATGTTTTTATTTATTTATAAATTGATCTATTAAGTCTCAGGATTCCGCCATTTTGATCATCTAGGGTTCCATATTCAGAAAAAAAAATGGAACCTCTGTTCTACACTTCCATCTATCTATACTTATCTCCATCCATATCGTCTCCTCCTCTAGCTCCTCTTGGGGGTTGACATTTCCTGTAACCCTCACCCGCCTGACCCTCATGCCACGGGTCATCTATTATCCTGAGTGCCAGATACCTGACTTATATGAAGATACTCAAAAAATTTCCGGAGTAACAGCATAAATGCTGACACCCACTCATTGAAAGCAGAAGGGGAAAAAAAAAAAATTTTTTTTCAAATTTAAAAAAGCATACTTAACTGCATGTTAAAAATTGTTTCAACTTATAACATGATTGATTTATTGATTACGAATCGATTCCACTTTTTTCCGTGCTATATAAATCATTTTTACATATTTATTTTTAAATTCATATGAAAAACCGCATATTACTAGTTGTTTGCCTAAAATACAGAAGAACGCGTTGTTAAACATTATCCTGAGATACCTCTGTACAAGAAATATATATTTTCATAAACTTAGTTTTTGCTTCAAAATGCAAGATACCTTTATGGCTTCCCTTTTAATTTCAAAAAATGGTACCCAAAATTACTTTGAAATATATAAATGGGACACCCGTGTCCCATTTATATATTTCTTTTCTGGCGCTCTTATTTCAAGCTAAAATATATTTTGGTATTTTTTTAATTATGAAAATATGTTTAATTATTAAAATTAAATTTGCACTAAAATATAAAATCTAAGAAATATAGTTTAAAAATTTTTCTTTTCATATTGTCAATAATTTTTTCAGTATTTAATTTTGTAATTAAATATTGACAATAATTAATTTTGTCAATAATTTTGTAAATTAAAAAACTTCATTAATGAATCACTGTTTCTATTAGATCTAAATAGCTGCAAATTTTGAAAATTATTGTTTATAAGTAAGCCGTGTTTGGAAGATTTTATCTTTAATGCACATAGGGAAACCGGTGATGCTATATTTCATACCCAAAAGTTATTAAACTGCTGAAGATAATATTTTTCACTTATTTTGACCCAGATTAATACAAAACAATGAAAAATATGTTTAATAAAAATTCTGCGGTCGAAGAATATTTTATTAAGGGAAGGGAATATTTTCTAAGCTTATTATTTTTATTTTTTAATGAAACTTAATCTCATAATCCATTTCTCATAATTACATTTCTTTAAAAAATGACAATTAAATGAAAATATCGAATAAGATATTTTAAATAAATATCTCCTTTTAATGTTTATTCATTTTTCGTTATTTAAGAGAGCTTTATGTTTAACCATGAATAAAAAGAATACATGAAGTGGAAGAATACATTCTCCCGATTATTCAGACCATTTTTTTATACATAGTTATTATAAATCTTTTCTTTATTTGCATTTGTATTCTTTTTTGTTCCGTTTATTCTTTGACAACCCCAATTTCGAACATTTCTTCGTACTATTAAACGCTACTGTAATCTTACCGATAATATTGTCACTCGCTGATGCACAATATATTCCATACTATTTATTTTCCCGGTAAATTGAAAATTCCACTTGTACATATTTTCTCAGTACTCACAAATTTGTCTTAGTAAGAAATCCCTGTCCTCTCGCCAAACGGTGACAAATTCCTCTAATTTATCACCGTTCATCGCGTCTCCTTTACAAAGCTGAGAAATGCTCCGTGTTTAATTTAGACTTGAGCAAATGATGAAATTCAAGTTAAAATGAAAATGACAAGGCATGACGTAACATATAAATGAATTACGTCCAGCTGTCATTCACTTAACACCCACTTCCCAAATTAGGTCTCAAAGGACATTCAACGACCGCCACTTAATTGCAATTAACCGCCCCTTGATTGGAAGGCCCTTGAGTGCGAGGACGTTGTTAAGAATTCTTGCTTACAACTCTCTAAGCTGCTTTTGTCTCTCAACAAGGGATTTCATTATTATTAAGGGAATTCCGTTTTCTATTTGTGAAGACAGTGCGATCAATTGTATAACTATGCATTGTTGTGTATTCATAGGCAAATTGTTTATTTTCTTGAATATAGATAACTGTAATCGTGCGTTACTTTGTAATCAATTATTCGTTACAAAGATTGCGACTTAAATATGTCTTTTTTTGAAATGTATACTTTATTTGTTTCTCACAAATTATCGTAATTTGAAACAAGAGTTATTGAACATTTTGTTAAAATAGTGGAGAAAAAAATTAAAAAGGATTATTCTTTGTTGTGTAGTTCACCATTTATTCGCGAATTGTTTATTTTTAATGAATAACCAAGTTCTGTAACCAATCATTCAATACTAAGGCTATGAATTTAAAATATGTATAATTTCAAAATCACTTTGTTACCTCGTAATTAGCGGCGTAATTAAAAAAAGATGATTCATTCGTAGATGATTATTTATTGATGGATCGTTTCTTTTCTTAAGCATTAATAACTAAACTGAAATCATGCTTCACTTGTAACCAATCATTCATGCGAATTAAAAAATATTAAAAATATACTAAATGTTTGTAATCTAGATAATGTGCAATGGTTAGATGTTGGTTGCTGTGAGTCTTGTCAGAACTGCTGGAAATAAGAAGAATGTTCAGTTAGAGAAAAGGAGGGAGAAGAAACGGCTTTGTTATGTTTTTACAATATATAAAGAATAGGTTATTTTATAAATATAAAGAATAGTTCTCTTATGAATTATTCAAACTATCTCTCCATAAGACAAAAATAATTTTTCTTACTTTTATGAATTATTCAAACTATCTCTCTCCATAAGACAAAAATAACTTTCCTTACTTTTATGGATTATTCAAACTATCTCTCTCCATTAGACAAAAATAACTTTTCTTACTTTTATGAATTATTCAAACTATCTCTCTCCATGAGACAAAAATAACTTTTCTTACTTTTATGAATTATTCAAACTATCTCTCTCCATAAGACAAAAATAGCTTTTCTTAATTTTATGAATTATTCAAACTATCTCTCTCCATAAGACAAAAAAAATTTTTTTTTTACTTTTATGAATTTTTCAAACTATCTCTTTCCGTAAGACAAAAATAGCCTTTCTTACTTTTATGAATTATTCAAACTATCTCTCTCCGTAAGACAAAAATAACTTTTCTTACTCTTATGAATTATTCAAACTATCTCTCTCCATAAGACAAAAATAGCTTTTCTTACTTTTATGAATTATTCAAACTATCTTTTATAGAAGCCTATATTTAGTAAGTAAGGAACAACTAAACACAAAACATGCAAGAAATTAGTATTTGAGACCATTTTTTTAAACATAAGTAGCTTTTTTCATATTATTTATTTTATGTATAATAAGAAAATTAAAATGCAAAATCAAATACCTCTCCGATTGCCCCATAATTAAATTTAAAAACAATAACCAAGCATATTCGTTATAAAAGTAGGAATATATTTTTTTATTTGTTTTAATTTCAACAGCAAGCAAATAAAAATTTAAGGGAATTCATTAATGTTAACGGTAGATATATTTAATTAAAATTTCCTTTTTGCCATACAAGTTAAATCTCACGATTTTCAACTGAAAATTCGTTCATGCTTAATTTTTTTCATTAAATAATTTATTTTTTTCCTTGCTTTACTTAACAATTTAAAATATTATTTGTACTTTTTTATTTATTTAACTTCTAAACTAAAATAGTACTTCAAAAAAAGAAAGAAACCTCTGATAATTAAAATAGTTTAAACATTTCAATACCAACTATATTAAAAAGATTATTAGAAATATCTTCTTTTGAAGCTCTTTGATGTAAAAAGCGTTCTGTTTTTGTTCGAAAAAGAATTAGATCTGAAATAAAATCATTATGAGGCACTGTAGTTACGCGCCTTTAAGGGATGTTATATCTTTCGGTTTTGTCTTGGAACAAAATGTTGCGTTATTGCATTAATTATTCTTTCTAAAGAATTTTTTTTTATCTCTTATTCTTGAATTTTTTAT